ACAATTGGAACAATCTGCACTCCACAATTTTAATTATGACATATCACATTTTTAATAATGAATACAAGCAGCCAAGCAAGAGGCATACTTTAGCCAGCAAGCATAGGCAGCAAAAGAGAATAGTAATAATTGCAATAGTAATCTTAGAGACATGCCTTGAAGGAGTTGTACTTTAATTGAAAATTAGTAATTTAAAGGTCTATTGCCACTTTGTTCCAATTAAGTTTAATTTCTTTATAAATTTCTGTCATATTTTTACATCTTACATATATATGTGTGTAATGAAAAAGAGAATAAAAGTAGCAATGTTGATAGCATAACACGTACATCCATACTGATGTGGAGGGATTCTGGTTGCGAAGAATGTTAAAATGTTGAATCTGTAATGACAAGGCAACTTGGCAGCCGAGTAAGATTAAATATTCATTTTTTATTTCAATTGACATTTGTGGCCACATTTTACTTGGCGCTCTAATTGCGCCTATTCAAAAACATTTACAATTTTGATACTGTTGCTATAGGAAGAGAGCACAGTGAAAAAGCATCATTACAGGAGAAAGGCAGAAGCTAAAATGTGCAATTATCTAATATGGAAGCTCACCAAGAGGAAGGTTGTGGTTTAGGTTACAAAGGATTCAATTCTAAAAATTTTGAGTTCAAGTTCCGATACGTCATCAGTGTTATGCAAGCCTTGTGTCACAGATTAACCCAGAAATGGTGCAGTCCAGAAAAATTATTACGATTTTTAGAATAGAGAGGACAATTACGGGTTACTACTAGTTCAAGGTATAATTTTAATTTGCATATTTTTTATCTTACATATTATCAAAATTACCCTTCTTACTTTTCTTCAGGAGATATTTTGCCTTTAAACAGTTTGATCAGTAAGTCATTTCACAAAGAAGCTATTAAAAAAGCCACAGTATTAGGCGTTTTTAAATAACCGTTTGTCAGATTCTTTTACAATACTCCCTACATAAGAAAATGTTTAAAATTACAAAGAAGAAAGACTTTTTTCAGTCAAGTAAAGCATTTCTTGTGTATACGAAATGAAATAAATGAATAACAGAAATTTGCGATAAAATAACTTAATCTAAAGTACATTATCATTTTTAATTATTATACAGACTGGTTTAGATTATGTGGATTAGGATCATGCACATGCATGGAACAAATCATGAAAACTATGAAGCGCAACTAGCCCATTCGCCACAATTTGAACCTAGGTCAAACTGCCCCGTGTTTAGTGTTCTTCTTGCTCTACTGTTGATGGGCTTATTGTATAGAAGTTTGCCATTAATTAATAAAATTTTGGTAAATCTTACAGATATTAAGTATGAATACCTACATGGAATTCTTAGTTAGGAGATCACTAACACAGTGATGAAAATTCGGCATAATTCAAAACGACAAAATAATATTGATGAAATGAATAACGAATTTAAGAATCTGTTACAGAAATATGCAAACAGGTTCATAAAACGAACATTATTTAAAAATAAACAACGAATTTAAGAATCTGTTACAGAAATATGCAAACAGGTTCATAAAATGAACATTATTTAAAAATAAACAAGTACAAATACATGACTATGCAGCAATTCATCATGCTTGCAAGAGGCACCACATCAGCCAATCATGCTTGCAAGAGGCACCTCATCAGCCAATCAGCAAGAGGCGCACAACACCTGTTCTGTTCAAGTCACATCTACTGTCTGACCTCAGAGCCATTTTTTGGCGGGTGCCATTGGAGTAGAAAGACGCTACACAATGCTCCCGGTAAGAGTCTCATTCCTGTGTGTATAATAAAATATATTTTTATATCAAATGCTGTTTCATTCATATCCAGGAGTCAGATTAATCAAGCTTTCTATTCTGCTAAACTAAGCAAATCTCAAAGGAATTGGTCCACTTATGACCGTGAACTCTATGCTATGTATTCTTCAGTCAAAACTTTTAGGCATATTCTTGAAGGGGAGAAATTTTGTCATTTATACTGATCAGAAACCACTTAAATTTGCCTTCCAGTAACATCCTGACAAATGCAGTCCTCGCCAATTATGCCATTTGGAGTTTACCTCCCAGTTTACCACTCATATTGAATATACTTAAGGCTCGGTTAACACTGTCGCCGATGCACTCTCCCGAATTGAGATTGATGATATTTCATCTACTACTGTAAACGATTTTCAAAAATTCGCAGCTGCAACAATCAAACAATGAAGAACTTCAACAGCTTTTAGCACCAAATATGTACTCTTTAAAATTAACTTCAACAGCTTTTAGCACCAAATACATACTCTTTAAAACATTATTTTCCTCTCGAGGATATTCAACTCTATTGTGACATCTCACAAAAACATCCCCGACCTTTTGTTCCTCAGTGTATGAAATTAACAGTTTTCCAAATATTATATTTTTCTCTCATCCAGGTATCTCAGCCTCCAGCGATTTAATAGCTAAATGTTTTATATGGCCAACCATGAGAAAAGAAATAAAATTATTTTGTGTGCAGCTGTGGTCAATGTCAATGAGCTAAAATTGCTAAACATACCAAATCTCCTATCGGCACATTTGCTGAATCCAATGCTCGTTTTGCACACATACATATAGATTTTATAGGCCCTCTACCTCCATCTGATGGAAAAAAATTTTGCATGACTATCATAGACCAGTTTACATGATGGAAGTTATTTCAACAACCGACATGAGTGCAAAAACAGCAGCTCATGCTTTAGTACATGGCTGGATATCAAGATTTGGATGCCCAGTTACAATTACATCTGACCAGGGTAAAAATTTTGAATCTAATCCTTTTAGAGAACTTACTCACACACTTGGGGGCAAGGATTCGAACCTATGCATACCACCCCCAGTCAAACGGAATTATCCAATGCTTCCATCGGCATCTTAAAACAGACATTAAAGCACATAACACAGCACAATGGACTGAAACTCTTCCAGTTGTCCTCTTAGGCATATGCTTAGCCATTAAGGGCAATGTCAAAGCAACTTCTGCTCGACTTGTTTATGGCACAACATTAAGATCACCTTCCGATCTAGTAACCAGCGATGTCATAAACCAGACCTTAAATTCCACATAAGTAAACAGTTTACTTCAGACAATAAAATCTTTAAATCCTATTTTTACTGCCCTACTTAGTAGTCCTAAAATTTTCATTAACCCCTCATTAAAAACTTGCTCTTATATGTTTTTAAGATCTGATAAAGTTAATCCTCCACTGACACCACCTTATACTGGACCCCATTTATTCATTGACAGAAATGATAAGAATTTTATTACTGATGTAAACGGAAAACGTATTACAGTTTCAATTGATCGCGTAAAACATGCTTACCACCTGCCAGATGACCATTACTCATAACTCATCTTTACCTCTTCAAGTTTCAACTCCATCTCCACGATGCTTTAATCAAACATTTACCACTAAAAGTGGGTGTAAGGTCCGATTTCCAAAGCATTTAGTAACAGACTACATTCCTTGAGTACAAACTTGTGATATTTATAACGTTTTGTATTACACATACGTTCCGACTTCATCTATAACCATGAATAGGATATTTTTTTATATTGTATTTCATATTCTATATTTCACTATTATATCATTTTTTGTATATATTGTAAATATTTATTATAATTTGTAATCGTGTCTTCATCACTGGGGGGAATACTTTGTAGCAATTCATCACACTTGCGAAAGGCGCCGCATCAACCAAACAACAAGAGGTGCACAACACCTGTTCTGTTTACGTCACATTTTCTGTCTCGCCCCATAACCGTTTTTTGGCGGGTGCCGTTGGAGCAGAAAGACACTACGCAATGCTTTCGGTACGAGTCTCATTCCTGTGTGTATAATAAAATATATTTTTACATCAAATGCTGTTTCATTTATATTCAGAAGTCAGATTAACCAATATCAGCTTTAATAGCAACCACACTTCAACTATAAGTTTAATTAAACCTAAAAATATATTTTGGTACAATCTGACTGAACTGTAGAATGCTTTTACTTAAATCAAGGACAAACACTCTCTATTTGACCTTTTTATTTTCCTTTACAATACTGCTTAATTAGTTGTTCAAGTAAACTTATAAATCGTATTACTTGAAAACTTATTTTCTACATTTAATCAATTTTTTATTTAAAATAATCTTAAATCAAGCAAAAAAGAATTATTAAAAATGGTATAATTGTTTTACATACTAAACACTGAAAACTTATTATACCTTAATAACATTCAAGCTTTTAGTACATTACGTTTAATTACTTTTATGCATTTAAACATTATGAAAACCTATGCAATTTTGCTTACATTTCTATAGTGTAAGCAATTAGATGACTTTCAGGTTTTAGGAGAGAGCACAGAAAAGATTGTGAGAAAAGCGGTATTCAAAAATTAAGTCTAAATTTTTAATGATGTGCAATGCTCTCATAAACCTGAAAATATTTGTGAAAGGCATCACAATGACTTTTTTTGTAAGTGTTGCAAAAAAGGTAGAACACTGTACACTAAGTCGGTCATAATACGACATTTTTGCAACCCAAAATCTTACATTTTTGCTATGGCAATGCGATCTATAAAACCGTAAAAGCGACGTTCTTCAAAAACTGCGTATGCAAAAAGTCTTGAAAGTGATGTCTTTATGGCCTCTGTATCTGGGAGTCTTAAAGAAGACACAATACAATGTCTTTATTACAGCATGTGCAACGAGATTGCTACATCATTACAACAAAACCGAGCTACTTTGATGATATTTTCTTTTCTTGAAATGGTATGAAATAAATTAATGAGGTTAGCATTTTTTTGGGGGGGGCATTGATTGCTTAGAATTTTACGAGGGAAGATTTGTAGTCAACTCCATTCAGACTTGCTTATTCTCAAAGCAGCGAGTTCTCAAAGCCTAGATGGGAAGACGGCTTTGGCTAACAGATATACATTTTACATGCTCATCAAATAAAGACACGAGAGAGACTTACATCTGATGCATTCAAACAATTTCCTACATTTTTTGAGTTACTGGCATCCTTTTTCAATTTACACCATGCTTTAAAAATAGCAGATTTTATTTCAGTGGCACTGCAAAGTTTAGTATCTTCTGTATTTATCAAAGAGTTCAGTCTGAATGATTGCTTTCCACCAGCAAATGTTTTGTCAGACCTAAAAGTAATAAAATACTTTTTAAAATATACATTGATAATTTATACAAATATATTAAATTTAGAACTCCAAAGAGAGTTCAAGACAGGTACCTACATTCTAAGAACATTATAACAGAGAAAATTACACCTACGATAATATTTACAATAGTAAAACAACTATCTAATTAAACATTATTTTATCGACAGTTTCCTTTAAAATGTCTATATATTAACTTTTATCAAACAATAAGCAAATCTGAGTTAAAATAACATGCGGAATAACAATTACTTAGCTTCTTCTTCAGCTGCAGAAGTGCAAACGACAAAAGAAAAACCAGTGCTCGGCGATAAGAATGAGAGGAAGGAATTCAAGCTAATAGCGCTATCTATTGATAAAAATGAACATAACTAAGAAATAATTTCTTTTAAAGCTGAGGCTAAAGACGGAATGGAATTTGGCTGGTTAACTAGAAGTGAATGATTTTCATGAATGTGAAATGCCTCTAGAAAATCTAATCCACCAACAAAAGATGTTTTTTGAATAATTTCAATTGGAAAAAAAAATGGCAAATGTGATTTTTCTGACCAACAGTGTTGAGCAACTTGGGATTTAAGTGTTTCTTTCTTCCTAACATATGCCTCATGTTCCTTATCGCGAAATTTCAAGGCTCTCTGAGCTTGACAAATGGAAATTAACCAATTAACCCTTTGACGGTTATGGAAATGAGCAGTTTCCGTTTACTTAATTCGCACAGCATTAGAAGTAAACAGTAGTCGAAAGTGGCAGCTGTTTTCCCCCGCCGTTCTTCCGAAAATGTCACCTTTCTCTGGCGATGCCGTAGATAGCTCGCCTCGCGCGTTTTAAAAAATTTCTTAAAGTATTGTAGTACATAAATAACAGTTTTTACGTACTTTAAAAATAATTATTAACAGTAAATTATAAACAAATGATTATAACCAATTATACAATAATAATAGTTAATTATAATATAAGACAAATATTAAATTGAAAGGACTAAATAAATACAACTAATGTAAAACTTTATGAAGCACAGTATAAATACAGTAATTACCTAAAAATCTTTTGTGTGTGATACTTTAAAACATGGAATTGCACATAATGGGGCATTACAGTCTTTGCAATACGTACGTGTTTCACGGCGAATTCTTTTTCCATTAGCATCATTTTTGCTGCAACATACCACACATCGTCTAGTAGGTTCTTTCTAATAGAGAATTTCAGAAATATTGTCACGCAGCTTTCATGCCTACATCACCAGTAAAACTAAATCGGCTAGGAGCGTGAGAACTTGAATCAATTATACACCACTGTCGAACACTCGAAAAATCTTCCACATCGCTTGAACCGTCTTCTGAGCTTGAAATACTGTGAACAAAGTCTTCATCAGATTCAAAACTTGATAAGCTTTCTGTATCACAATCATAATCATCATCATACCTATCTAACTTTCGCTTTTGAGCCAATTTACTGTACAAACACCCTAAAAACAGCGCCAAAATACGTATAAAATGAACAAGGTCAAAAAAAAATTCCACCTTCATTATGCAAAGAAATTCATGGAACTCGTACTGCCATCTGTAGACAGTAAAACTAACTAAATTTCGCGAGTAGCATTCGTTTGAAACACAATCAGTGCAGAATAATAATGGCGAACGAAGTCAGCTTGTCAGCGTGCATTGGGGAAAAATTTCACTATGCGAGTAGTGCTCGTTACTAACCATTTCGGTCAAAATCTTGCTCCCGAGCGGAACTCGTTTGCGCACATTATGAAGCACGATTCGATTGTGAGCTGAACTCGTTGATAACCATCAAAGGGTTAACCACACTGGCAAAGAATTCTGTATAAACCCTTACAGTTCATATCCAGAATGGAATTCGTAAGTATGGAATTGCGAATTATATTGACAGAAAAGAAAACAACCTAAAATTTGAATCTCTGTCGGCAAGTTTATGAATATTGCGCTGATCTCCTCCAATAAAAATTAAAAGAAATTAATTATTAATTACACAATACCATATTTTTAAATATACAGTATTTTATTCTGACTAATCAGCTTTAAAATGAAAATTATTACTTTTGAAGAAACATACATAAAATAAAAAGTATTTAACTTTTCAATTAATATTCTTTTCTTTTTAAATCAATGCTTTATGCTGTTATTTTATTCTTTTCTCTCTCTCTCTCTCTCTCTTTTTTTTTTAATTAAAAGGTGCATAACAAGCTCCAAAATTTTTCCCCAGTAGATTTTATTCAGATTTTCCTAATCTTCTATCATTTATAAATGATTTTACCTTCCTACATTTAAATTAATCTATTTCTCTCCTGTGTCATTACAATCTTCTGTTAAACTGATTATGAAAAAGCAACCTTCTAATATTTTTTTTTTTTTCTACTTCAAACTAAGAATAACAGTTAGATGAGGAATACAGTACGCAAGAATAAGGAAGCTAATATTTAGGTTTTTTTTTTATTATTATTATTATTTTTACTTTATGCAAACACAGCACTTGTTTTAACACTTTACCATAATGAAATATTTTCATATTTTATAACAATATATTTGCGCACATTATACATAATTTACATTTTACAAGTTTATTAATGTCCTACGTTAGTACTTTTTTTTTTTTTCATTTTACGTATACCAGATGAAGTTGCCTTGATGAACCAACAACAGAAAACATCGCTGCATTCCACAATGCAAGGCAATACAGCTCTGTGATAAAGAGTTCTTGGAAAAATTGTTGCCCGTATTAGTCACTAACTGCTCCCATATTATCAGGAAAGAAATCAAGACAGTTTTAAAGATACAAGGCAATCGTCTCTACTTGTCCAGCTTTCATCTTGGTTAACAAGTCCATCACAGCCTACATTTCATCTAGCATGGCTTTCTCCTGAAGGGGGAGGTCACTGGCATTCACTCTCAAATTCCACTTCTGACACCAGTTGTTGCGTCCTACAGATGAGAACACTTGACAAAGAATTAAAACACGATTTATTTGTCAGTATTACACAGGACAGTTCCAAAGACCTGTTAAAGTAGTTGAAAAACTATGATAACATTCTGAAACAATCAGCAACACAGCCGCCATCAGGCTATAATGGTGAAGACAGCTTCACGACAAAACACGGAAGTACAGCTTCCAACTCGGTTGATCGCTCTCGAGCTAATATCTAAACTCAGAACACTATTACTGAACTTAACATACTCCTCAAGATACTTGAGGTATACATGAGTAACATGTGCTTACAAAAGTATTGATAACATTACCTAGAAAAACAGCCATCGTAATTGAGATAGGCATATACAATTAATAATGAAATTTTAATAAGGAAAAGTAACATAGATACATTATAATGGCTTAAAAAAGAGCATGGTACCAACACAGACACGGGTGCCAAAGTTTACATATCACGGTGAAGGCACAAGACTGAAGTGTTACCAGACTAGAATGCCGAAGAAAACTCATCTCTCCCCTGTCAGCCCGTAGGGTTGCCATACAGGTTTACTTTCTTTGTTTACTGTTTCGCCAACTGGCAGCTTTCTATAGAGTTTTTGAATTTGTATCGCCTGTTTGGTGCTGCCACTGCATACTCTTCATGATAAACTGCTACCCTGCATATAGGCAGGGTATTTATAGCTTTTGACCTGCGTTCAAGAACATTATCGGATAAACTGGTAAGAATTCTTTCTAGAATGTTCTCGCTATGTCAATGGCATATCGCGAATTTTGTTGCCAAATCTGGCAACCCTAAACCCACTCTACAGGGAAAGTTATCTTACCACAGCTGGGCATTTTGTAATAACATTTTGACACGTTTGGTACCCCATGAAAACTTTATTTTAACTTTAGCTATGAATAAATAGCTATCGGGGAAAAGAGTTTTACATAACTAAAATTAATGAAAAATTATTTGAGATCAACAATGTCAAAAGAACACCTTACTGATTTCAATAAAAAATGATATTATGGGTAATTCAGATCTAAAAGATCTAATTAAAAATTTTGTAGCAGCTAAAACTAGAAGAATGGAGTATAACGAATGGCATACCATAAAATCTAGTACAAAATGTTTTGCATTTTTTTCTATAGTTTAGAAAATTTGTCACATGATTTATTTTTTGTATAGACTGGTATAACTTGTTTTTATTACGCAAAATGGAATTTCCCCTGAAATTAATTACATTTTAATTTTCTGATTGTCATATTTTGTGGGAGCACTGGAATATAACCTTGCACAATGGCATCTCGTACTCACATGGCGGCACAGGTTAGGGACACATTTAAAAAGTATGGCACAGCAAAGACATGATAATTTTGAAACTTTTAAAGACTGAATAACAGTACGTTAGGAAAATTAGTGTAAACTCATCCTGCCATAGAAAGCACTTTCACTGAATATAGAATTTGGAACACTTACAACGAAAAATTATCAAGTTTCAACTCTAAGTCATGCTAAATACACATTACTCAGAAATGTAAACTTTCTTTTGGTTAACACTGTAAGGATCTTAAGTTTTACCAACGTTTATTTTATTTTAAATCTTTACTATCACTTCTTATTTTCTACTTCCGGCCAGAATTAAAAGCGTTAACTTATTTATGCAAAATTTGTCTGGCGAACGCCAAGTACTTAAGTTGTGGCTTTTTGCCAAGCGAGAGAGAGGAAGGAGTTAGTCGAAGCAGGCCGCTTACCTTAGAAGTTTTACTCAGTTGCTGGTTGCCTTCCAGGCCAGAGGTTTAATCCTCTTGATAATTTTAAACGTATTGTAGTGTTAACAGTTCTCTGTACTACATACGGCTTCCTGTTAATATAAGGCCAATCTTCCACGTAGGCCCTTTTATTATTCCAAAGTTAAGTTAGAGTTTAGTTAATATTTTTATATTCTTACTTTTTAGACCACAAGTAGTTGGTCTCTTGTATTCCGAAGTACGGAAATTATTGTAAAGAGTGAAAAATAAAGGGTTTTCGTATACCCTTCCTGTGTATCCTT